TTGTGCAGGTGTTTGTCTCGTCCAGGTGATCTTGTGTCTGTCTTGTCCAGTTCTCCCTGCAGTTTCTTCCTGTGTGTCTGTTTGTAGATGAAGGGGCTGAGGATCAAGTGGGTCCTCTACACAGCTTCCCCAGCCACGAACATGCCACCGGCGGGGAGAGGCGTAGACTCCTAGCCCCCTCCATCTCGGTGTCTGTGCCTGATGATGACCCTTCCAATTCCGATGAGGAGTACTATGAGCATCCTTTGTTCCACTCACAATGGACTACCTCTAGTGTGCTCCCCAGTGTCCCAGCACAGAGTGCAGAGGCCCACTTAGGCCAGGAGAAAGGTGAACCAAGCATCGTCCCCTTTTGCTCCTCCCCCCAGCCTGCAGCTTTGACCACATGCATCATTCTAACTGTACCTTCAGATGTGGGATGGGAGGGAAAGGAGCCTGTTTTTTCCATATGAAAGTGAAGTCCCTATATGGTTTATATGTCTAGCCAAATACCTTATCTACAAGAAGGCTTATTTGGGGCATAGGAGTATTTTCTTTTTCTGTATCATTGCTTCTGAAAAGAAAGCCAAAAAAGGGTGGGAGTGGGGGGAGGGAGCAAAAAAGTTCAGTTAAAGTATGACTCCTTTCTGCTCCCTGTAAATAAATCAGAGGGGGAAGAATACATCCTCTACTCAAACTGAATAAGAGGACCCTGTATATAATTTTTTTTCCTCCTTGGATATAGACTATTACTAGGACCAGACTTAAATAGAATTAGCCTTCTTTTTAGTGCCGTGTCAATACGGTAGCTCCTTAAAAGAGAAAATCATGAATTTGTATAGGGCAGAACACATGTTACAGAAGGAACGTATTTCTCCAAATCATTTAATCATCTACAGAAACTACAGAGGCTCCCCCCAAGTGACTAAATATTGGCTCACATGAGCAGACCTGGGCTAAAGTGAAGGAAATGATCCAAAGCCTTTGTCATTCCACCCTCATAAAGCTAGCCAACCCTAGTGTATAACTGGCCATGATGAGGGCGGTGGGCTGAAATTTATCTCATTCTAACTAGGTAGTTTTGTAAAGGAAAACAAAATTAGAGCTAAAACACATTTTGTGTAGGTGAAGAACTTATTCTCAAATAGGGAAAAATGACTTGTGTGCATGAAGAGTTTATTTCCATACGGGACAGTATTTAATGAAAGGGCAGATAGTTCCAAGGCAATGGGGAAAAACTCAGAGTTTACCAACTACATTCGTGATAATAAACTTATTCTAGTGTCCACTGGAAAACAAAGAGCGCCAATGGCTCAGACGCTCTAATAGAGAAATATAACCCATATGGAGTAAAAGTAAGTTCTAAGAGTGTGAACTTAGAACAATTAAGAGAAATATATGAAATTTCGAGTGAGAAACAGGTATAATGGAAATAGACATGATTTATACAAAATGAGGAAATGGAAAGCCGAAAGTTTGTGTGGATTTGGAAAACATGTTGATTAAATTGATTAGACTTTACCAAGAAGGTGACATTAGGAAAGCAGCTATAGTAAAAGTCTCTTATCTGTAATCAAAATCTCTAATTCTATGACATTATAAAAATGGCCTTGATAATAATTTGGAATCTGAATTTTTTAAATGTTGCTTACATAATTAAATGACAAAAATGAAAGTCCCTGAGTGCTAAATGGGAGGAAATAGATGAAGTAGTTCTCCCCTCCCCCACCCCCCTGCCCAGGGGTTTTAATATTTCTCAAAAAAAAGAAAATTCCTTTCCTTTCCATCTGTAGTCTTTCCCACAGGGCCATTTAAACGATGTTTCATAAGAATTTCATCCGAATCTTTCATTTGTAGAACTATAAAACAGCTTATATTTCCCCTCTAATTTCTTAAGCAATAAAATGGGATTCATTTTACTGGCATTTGAAAGTACAAATGAGAAGCAAATGAACACAATAAATCATGGCTTTCATAGGTGTGCTTTTTACATTTTAATTGTAAACATTTTTCCTTGTGATATACATCTTTTGGGAAGATATTTTGGCAGTTTGATTGTCGTTCAGTTATGTTGGTGGTTTGGTTTTGAATTGCAGAAACAAGACTTTACAGGTAATGTGCACATTGTCTTATTCAGGATCAAGGGCAACTATACATGAAATACATTATTGGTATTACAAGGGTGTAAGCAATATGGTAACAGTTGTATCCCCAAGGTGGACTTTTCTAAATGCTAAGATTCCATTTTACCTGGACCTTGCTTCTCAAAATAGTTTGCTTACTCCTTGAAATTTTTTACATTCTCCCATATCATATAATGCAATGAAGGTAAAATAAATTGAGTTAGGAAGTCTTTTGCCTTAAAAATATTGCATAAATTATATTAAAATATAATTTAATACTTTAAATACTCGAGACTTTGGCCTTTACATACTAAATAAGATAGTGTTGATGGATTCCATGATAAAGCTGTTAGGGTAGTTGATGGTTATTATGTTGAGGCCGGGTGTTTTTTATTCCCCAAGATTCTTTACTGAAGTTTGCATGTGTTTAATAAAATAATCAGAAATTCGTATGTAGGGGCTTACTGCATTGGAGAAAACAGCCCATGTCTAGCAAACGTAAAGATTTTTTTTAGTCCATCAATGCATCTGTCTTTTCATAACCATCTGTTATCCAAAAGCACCATCTCTTATTTCCAGCAAGCTTCCTACATGTGTGCAACTTACTGCCATTTCCACTAAGGGGAATAGGGCAATAAAACCCTTTCAGCTCTCAAGTTTTCAAATAAGTAGCCTTTTAACGAGACTTTAAAAGGCATCATTATTAGCAGATTATATATATAATCATTGCCCAAGCAATACATAATGCACGTTGCATTCGAATATTAATCTGCTCATCCAAATGGTAAAGTAAGGTTCTGGTGAGGTTGATGTAATGGAGCTGAAAGTGTTCCATGAGTAATATTTCTGCCATTGTGTGTATTCTGTGGTCATGATGTCAACATCTTTTTCGTCCCTAAGAAGAAGAAACGCTAGAGGGAACAGTGGCTGAGGAAGAGACACCTGCCACTCTTCCTGGGAAAGAGTGCGGGGCTGCCAAGGCCTCAGACCAACCCCAGGGCCTCAGTGAGGGCCACGCGGAGTCTAGTGCGGAGGCCCACATAGCTCTTGAAGAGAGTGTCCCAGCAGGGGCCCTGCAGGAGAAAAGTGTAAAAGAGGTCACCGAGGTGTCTCCAGAAGTAACAATCCCTTCCTCTGCCAGGGAAGGTGTGTCTTTCCTAGGATTTGCATGCGTTTTGTTGCAAATGATCTCTCCAGCAGCTTACGGACCTGATGCCTTTCCAATGCTATTCCATGGCTTGGTCTTCTCGTGATCCTGAGACTGATGTTGTAGGTTTAATGAGCAGAGTGTGGCTTGCACAGGTGCTGTGTGGCAGCTAGGTTTTCCACTGCTGCAGCTGATTCTTGGTTTTACTTTGCCATGATACAATATGCTTTGCAGCCAGGCTGACGATGCTGTGTGAGCTTTTTGTCTGCCCACCCCACCCCACCCCCATCTCCAAGTGTTTGCCAGCCACATTGCTAATACATGTATATTTTTATTTTTATTTTTGGGACAGCGATTCATATGCTTTTCTTTCAAACCGTAGAGTTGGATTTTGGCACATAGAGGCTTAAATGATAGAATTGTTTTTGTTTGCAACCGCAACGTGCTATATTTTTTATGCTTCGATGAATACTGGTTTGGTTTCCTTAAAAGTTCCTGCTGATGCTTCTCATATCATTTCCTCTCCATGGCAGTCAGCGTCTTTGATCATCACCATATCTCTTGAGTTTTCATTCATCTAACCTCTATTAGAAGTTCATAAAGTATTTCTTTTCTATTGTTACAACAGGTCACACAAGTACACAAGGTATTGATGATCCATACTTGGTCTTCAAGCGATGACTGAATTTTATTATTTTTCCCCAAATCTTTTCCAGATAGTTACACGTAGCCCTAATGACCACAATGAAATAACTGTGACCTTAAAACACAAGTGAGACTCTGAAACCTTTCGGGTTAGTGAACAAACGAAAATAAAGAAAGAGCCATTTAATTTCTGTGAAGCATCTCTAAAGCCACTACTTAGTGCCTCACTGTCTGTCATGTTCCAGCGAATGAGGTCATGACCAGGGAGAGAAAGATATGATAATAATTGGCTCTTTTTAAAATTTTTATTCACATGACATCCCAGTATTTTTTTAGGATTTTATTTGTTTATTTGACATCCCAGTATTAATAATATAATTCAGATTTTCTTACATCTGTCATAAGGCTAACTAACGATTAGGAATTAAAAATTTTGATTTTCTGATAGAAACCACCTTGTCATATCATTTAAAGTTAATAGCAAATATTTATTTATATTCCTGAAATTTAATCTCAGATGATGCCTTTAAAAATTATGTCAGTAACTTCTTAATGTTCAAAAACTTGGTCCTGGCATTTATAAATCAATTAACTTGATTTTAACATAATACTTATTATGAATGAGTTGCCCTTCCGCCCATGGCCTGCCAGTTCATTTTTAAATGAGAACACAAGTGAAAAAGTTCAGTAGACATTCATCCGTTTTTCATATTTAGCCCTTAATGTATTTTTGTACCCTAATATTACTGACTTATTAAATATTCTTTAATTTATCATTTTTGTCTGCAAAAGGCACATGAAATTTTCTACTACAATACATATTACATGGTATTTAGGAGAGCCCGAACAAAGGAGAAAAGAGTATTCAAAATACACAATCCCTGTATGCATTAATTCGCAATGGGAGTCCATTTCTGCAGTAGTACAAATGTATCTCAGTCCTGACATTTTCATATCGATTTTTAAATGGGTAGCATGCTTGCATGTTCCATAGTTTTGTTTTGTTTTCTTACCCTACCATTCATTTGTCATTTCAAAATATAATTTTAAGCTTCCTGCCTGAAAGCACTTGCCTATTTGTTTAAAAATCAACCCAATTACTTCAGGTTTACTTCCAGCCTCGAAGATGGAGTTCCATGATCAACAGGACTTGACTCCCTCTCCAGCTGAGCCATTAGACAAGAAGGACAAGGAGTCAGAGAAACAAAGTAAGCCTGGTGAAGACCTTAAACATGCTGCCTTCGTTTCTCAGCCTGAGACAACTAAAATTTCCCCTGACAAAAAGGACATGCAAGGCCCAGAGGAAGAAAAAGCACCTCCCACTCTGTTTGGGCATACTCTTGGTGCCGGGCTAGAAGACACGAAACAGAAGACAGAACCAAGCATCGTAGTGCCTGGTATTGGCCTCTCTGCAGAGCCCCCAGCTCCAAAAGAGCAAAAGGACTGGTTCATCGAAATGCCAATGGAAGCCAAAAAGGATGAGTGGGGTTTAGCTGCTCCCATCTCGCCTGGCCCTCTAACCCCCATGAAGGGAAAAGATGTCCTTGAGGATATCCCCAAATGGGAGGGGAAACAGTTTGATTCTCCCATGCCCAGTCCCTTTCAGGCTGGCAGCTTCACTCTTCCTTTAGATGTCATGAAGAATGAAATAGTTGCAGAAGCATCACCCTTTGCCCCTGCCCTATTACAACCAGATGACAAAAAATCTCTGGAAGAAACCAGTGGCCCAGCAACTGCCAAAGATAGTTCTAAAGCTGAAGAGCCCCATAAGGATAAATCTGACAAAATGGCAGAAGCGCCAGCCCCAGAGACATTCACCTTACCCAAAGATGCCCACATTCCGACTGTGGAGGAATGTGTCCCAGAGAAAGTTTTAGGAGAGGAGAAAGGGGCAATAAAGCAAGAGAGTGCACAGAAAAAAGAGCAGGAAGTGACACTTACTGAAAAAGAATCTCTGCTAAAGCTTGAAGAAAAGACAACCATTTCTGACAAAGAAGCCGTGCCAAAAGAGAGTGAGCCCCTGAAACTGACAGATGGAGAAACAGGCATAATTCAGCCCTGCATGGAGCATACCCTCTCAAAAGAAGAGCAGAAAGTCCAAGAGCCTACCACAGAGCCATTAAAACAGGACTCATTCCCTGTCAGTTTGGAGCAAGCAGTGACAGACTCAGCCGTGACCTCTAAGACGCTGGAGAAAGTCATGACCGAACCAGTGGCAGTAAGTGAAAAGAGTGCAGCCCAAGACCTTTTTGAAGAAAAAGTTGCAGACAAAGATATTAAGATGGAAGGGGTTGGGCCTGCAACATCAGTGGAGCTTGACATGCCATTTTATGAAGATAAGTCAGGAATGTCCAAGTATTTTGAAACATCCGCCTTGAAAGAAGAAGTGACCAGAAGCATCCAGCCAGGCAGTGATTACTATGAACTCAGTGACACCAGAGAAAGTGTCCAAGAGTCTTTTGATACCCTATCTCCCGTGTGTAAAAACGGAGACAAGGGACTTGAGGCAGGTAAAGAACCCCAGCCCAGTGCTCCAGCACAAGAAACAGGGTACAGCACTCTTGCACAGAGTTATCCGTCTGATTTACCTGAAGAACCTAGTTCTCCTCAAGAAAGAATGTTTACTATTGACCCAAAAGTGTATGGGGAGAAGCGGGATCTCCACAGTAAGAATAAGGATGACTTGACGCTAAGCAGGAGTTTAGGACTTGGTGGGAGGTCTGCAATAGAACAGCGAAGCATGTCAATCAATTTGCCCATGTCTTGCCTGGATTCCATAGCCCTTGGATTTAACTTTGGTCGGGGACATGATCTCTCCCCTCTGGCTTCTGATATTCTAACCAACACTAGTGGAAGTATGGATGAAGGGGATGATTACCTGCCAGCCACAACACCTGCACTGGAGAAAGCCCCCTGTTTCCCAGTAGAAAGCAAAGAGGAAGACCAGACCGAGGGAGGAAAAGCTGCTGGAGAGGAAAGTACTCAAGTCGAGACCTCGTGTGAGTCACCTTTCTTAGCCAAAGATTACTACAAAAATGGTACTGTCATGGCCCCTGACCTGCCGGAAATGCTAGATCTGGCAGGCACAAGGTCAAGATTAGCTTCCGTGGGTGCAGATGCTGAGGTTGCCAGGAGGAAGTCAGTCCCATCAGAGACTGTGGTCGAGGAGAGTAGTACCGGCTTGCCCCCTGCCACCGATGAAAACCACGTCATTGTTAAAACAGACAGTCAGCTTGAGGACCTGGGTTACTGTGTGTTCAATAAATACACAGTCCCACTCCCATCACCCGTTCAAGACAGTGAGAATTTGTCAGGGGAGAGTGGTTCCTTTTATGAAGGCACGGAAGATAAAATGCGAAGAGATCTAGCCACAGACCTGTCCTTGATTGAAGTAAAATTGGCAGCTGCCGGAAGAGTCAAAGATGAATTCGGTGCTGAGAAAGAAGTACCCCCACATATCTCTGGTGACAAATCGGGACTGGGTAGGGAGTTTGATCAGGAGAGGAAAGCTAATGATAAGCTGGATACTGTTCTGGAAAAGAGTGAAGAACATGCTGATGCAAAAGAACAAGCCAAGGCAACAGAAGAGGCCAGTGATGAAGTTGAAACATTTGGCTTAGGAGTAACCTACGAGCACACTCCCACCAAAGAACTGACCGTTTCAAAAGACACATCACCTCCCGCGGCCGAGAAAGCTGAGAAAGGTCTTAGTTCAGTGCCAGAAGTAGCTGAGGTCGAAACATCCAAAAAAGCTGAACCAGAACTGGATTTTGTTGCAATGAAAGCTGACCAGGGTCAATTAGATGTGAAAATCAGTGACTTTGGACAGATGGCCGCAGGGCTGGCGGTAGACGCTGGAGAGGCAACAGAGCTTAAGCTCGAGGTGACACAAGATCTGCCCCCCTCATCTGGAGCACCTCAGGAGGAAGACGCGTTTATGAGTGTTGAGGCTGGCCACATGAAAGAAGGCACTAAAGTCAGTGAGACAGAAATCAAGGAGAAGGTAGCCAAGCCTGACTTGGTGCACCAGGAGGCTGTAGACAAGGAAGAGTCCTACGAGTCCAGTGGTGAGCATGAGAGCCTCACCATGGAGTCCTTGAAAGCTGATGAGGGCAAGAAGGAAACATCCCCAGAATCCTCTCTAATTCAAGACGAGATTGCCATCAAATTGTCAGTGGAGATACCATGTGCACCTGCTGTCTCAGAGGCTGATTTAGTCCCAGATGAGAGAGCTGATGTCCAGATGGAATTTATTCAGCAGCCAAAAGAAGAAAGCAAAGAAACCCCAGATATCTCTGTCACACCCTCCGACATCGCAGAGCCATTGCCTGAAGCCATCAGGGCTGAACCAGCAGAGGCTCAGAGTGAGGAAGAAGAGATAGAAGCCCGGGGAGAATATGATAAACTGCTCTTCCGCTCCGACACCCTTCAGATTACCGACCTGGGCGTCCCAGGTGTCAGGGAGGAATTTGTGGAGACCTGCCCTGGTGAGCACAAAGGAGTGATCGAGTCCGTTGTGACCATCGAGGATGACTTTATCACTGTGGTGCAAACCACAACGGATGAAGGGGAGTCAGGTTCCCACAGCGTGCGTTTTGCAGCCCTGGAGCAGCCTGAGGTGGAGAGGAGACCATCCCCCCACGCTGAAGAAGAGCTCGAAGTAGAAGAGGCAGCCGAAGCCCAGGCGGAACCCAAGGATGGCTCCCCAGAGGCTCCCGCTTCCCCCGAGAGAGAAGAGGTTGCACTCTCAGAATATAAGACAGAAACCTATGACGATTATAAAGACGAGACCACCATTGATGACTCCATCATGGATGCTGACAGCCTCTGGGTGGACACTCAAGGTGTGCATTATTTTTTTTTAATTTTCTACTTCCAAATAAATTCCAATAACCTGATGGATTTCTTTTTCATTTTAAACTTGTTTAAATGTCCCTTTATCTCTATTTTGCATTTTGTTAAATATATGAAGGATTGTATACATTTGTTACTAATGTTTTCATTGTTGTTGTTGTTGTCATGGTTTGCTTTGATCCGCAGATGATGATAGGAGCATCATGACAGAACAGTTAGAAACTATTCCTAAAGAGGAGAAAGCTGAAAAGGAAGCTCGGAGACCATCTCTTGAGAAACATAGAAAAGAAAAGCCTTTTAAAACCGGGAGAGGCAGAATTTCCACTCCTGAAAGAAAAATAGCTAAAAAGGAACCTAGCACAGTCTCCAGAGATGAAGTGAGAAGGAAAAAAGGTTCATTTCACAATAACTTCTTTAAAAATGTTTTTGAATTCATTATTACTCTTTTGTAGAAGAAACTTCCTAACAGTGGTAACTAATTATTTATGAAATTTTGTTCGGTTTTGCTCCAACTGTTTATTTTCTCCTGATGGTATGCTTTTTTGTGTTTTCTTTATTCGTAGCAGTTTATAAGAAGGCTGAACTTGCTAAAAAAACAGAGGTTCAGGCCCACTCTCCCTCCAGGAAATTCATTTTAAAACCTGCTATCAAATATACTAGACCAACTCATCTCTCCTGTGTTAAGCGGAAAACCACAGGTGACTCTTCAGTTCTGCAATGTGGCTGGCAAACATAGACATGTCTTTTTTTTTTTTTATCTCATTCCTGTAGCGGCTTCTTCATTTTGTTTTTCTTCCAAGAATCTTAGCAGTCATGAGCAATTTCGCTATTGTCTTGTATCATTATTCTTTTTTTTTTTCCCCTCCCCGCAGAAGAGGTCATGACCATCTGTTTCTTTGTCATGCTCAGACTTAGCAGTGATTTTATCTTGGCATTGTGCTCTAGTGTCACGTTCTGGGGATTCCTCTTTTCATTCTGTGTGTTTGGTTAGACGATGATGATGAATATAACTGTGGTATGCATTCTCATTATTTTGCTTATTTATCTCTCTCATGCTTAAACCCATACTATATTTGTCCTATTTTCTACATGGTTACTGCCAAATCTGTTACTGATGTTGATGAATTTGCCAAGAATGGGTAGTGATTTCAAGACTGAAAATGAAAAGCAAATCTGGGGTAAAATTGTGATTGCAAAATTACTTTGCTTCAGATGAAAGAAAAAAAAAAGGAAAGGAAATTGCCTGCTCATCCCATCAGATTTTATTCCTTGTATCCAAAATTAGCAAGGCTTTCAATTCACTGTACTACATCTCTTCACTGACACTTTGTCATTGGGATTTTCTTAAATGTGTTGGATTCAAACTGCTAACTTTTCTATATAATTTAGTATTCAGAATTCCCGGATAAAACTCCTTCATTTCTTATAACTTAGGTGTATTTCTATGTTGCTACCTTCTTATTTTTCTGTCTTCTTCAAATATACTTGTTTTTAACTCCTTAAAAAAGCGGTGAAATGAGGAGCAAAACTTACTACAAATCACAATAAAAGCTCATACAAATATCTATAATGCAAACTCTATTCCTAAATTTCAGTGCAAAGTATTCATGTTAAATGTATAATTATCCTAGGATAATCTTAATTTGCAATACATTTTAGCATTTTAGCATTTATTAGATAGCACACTTGCAGGCTACAAAATTAGGTATCAGATTGCTAAGTAAGAAAGGAATATTTACCTTTACATACCCCTTAGGTAGGGGTAAAAAAAATGGTGCCTTTATATAAACCTTCTGATGGCTTTGATGATTAAGAGCAACATTAACCTTTTTAAGAAAAAGAAAATCAAGGTAATTGATGGTTTTACGATAGTCAATAAAATTCTAAGTATTTTTTATCTGTGTTCTTCATATGGGAATCATCTCATGAGCTTTCCTCCAAGAATGAATCTTTAAGGCAGTATTTGAAAGTGGAAGGCTCATAAATTATGTAGAAACCTTAATGATAAAAGTTCAGGCTGAAGAGTGTTTCTCAGTTAGAAATTAGTATGACATCTCCAACTCTTATATCACATCTTAATTCATCTGCATTAAACTTGGAATTTTACTTCTAGTTAGAAAAATGCGTGGACAGGCAGACTCTCTTGGTTTGGGCATAAAAATCCTATATCATGTATAAGAGGATGAAAAATATATCAGGATTATGGAATTTTGGAGGAAACATCAAATGGTTTGGTGAAGTGTCTGACATGTCATTGGTATTCAATTTGCCACACTGATAGTGAATTGCCTTTTCAACTCATTCATTAAAGAAAATTTAAGATCTTTGGACTTATTAAGATCTTCCCTTAATCTGTTCAAATATTAAATACTTGAGCAGAAAGCATACATCAAACATGGATGTCATTGGCTTGAAGCAAACTCTATGTCACAGAAATTTAAGAAATATTACAGAAATGTTAGGAAAGCATCATTTGCACTGCTTGTTTTAAAAAAAATCATTCCAGAATCTGTGAATAATCTTACTAGCCTGTCCTAAGTAGCATATAGCATCTTGTAGACAGTTATACTTGTGTTAGAGCTGTATGAGACATAAGAAACCTTTTTGAAACTCATTCAGAGTGCTTATAAGCATAAGTTCCCCCCCCCCCGGTGTTTTCCTTCTTATGAAAGAAAATTAAGGAGGAGGTAACTACGCAAGCTTGTGCCTTTCATTTTCTAAGCACAATTTTTAAGTAGGGATGGTTTTCCCAAAACACAAAGGATTGTTTTCAATCATAAGAGATATTCAAGTCAAGTCAGGTAAGTCATCAACAGAAAATGTGCTGGAGATAGTGGAGTTTAAAACTGAAGCCAGAGGTATAAAACAGCAACAAGAAAAACAACAGTAACAGATGTGGTAATAATTTCATACAGGCAGTGCATGTGTAGAACATGTTCTATATTACTGAACTTAAAATTCCACTCTTGTTTTCTTTCCTTGACAATCTATTTTTCTTCTCATATGGTGCGTTTCACATCAAACAAGTGTGTCATTCATATTGTGAAATGAAGGGGTGCAGAGGGAAAGGGGTTGGCTGATCATGATAGTTTGGAATATGAAATATGGAAATATCTGTATGTATGCCATTGGCTGCAAAAAGAGGGCTTGGGAATCTCCCTGAACACTCTTTAATATTGTGCCAACCCTAGAAACCAATCACTTTCCCCTTTTCTTAAATTCTACAGCATTGGATGGTTGTTCTGTGACTTTCGTTCTAAAGGATCTATGCTCGTGGACTAACAGTATTTAAAGGTACCTTGGTAACCAATAGGAAATTATTTGGTGTGCTTACCTAAGCTTTGGTAAACACTGGGTTATGTTAATTAGCACACACTATAGTGGGAGCCACATGCTAGAATGTTCTAATTCAGGTTTCTTCAGTTACTGAATTCGAATCTCAAAATAAGCAAAGTTTTGCTTTGCATTCGTCTGTTGACACAATTGAGTATCCAAAAGATATTGAAAAATGCATTTGTGTGGTTGTTAAGCCACTAAGTTTGGGGTTGTTTGTTATCTTCTTTTTTTGACAGCAACAGGTGGTGAATCAACTCAGGCTTCCAGTGTATTTAAACAGGCAAAGGACAAAGTCTCTGTGAGTAAAATAATTTTTTCCTTGCTCTTCACTTGAAGTTCCTTTTGGTATTGGTGGCAACGTCTCAATAACTTTAGATATAAGTTAGACTTCAGATGTTTACTCTTAAATGTCATTTTAAATTATTCACTCACCCAGAATGATTCTTGGTAGCATTCGGGCATGTCTCAATGTCTTCTGGAATGACATGTGATAGCAGTTGGTGAGGGCAGAGCTGGGATGAAGGTTGCCTTTTTTCTTTTTAGTAAAATGGAAACAAACAGCACGATAATCTGGCAAAAATAAGGGAGCTCAATTTATTTACTTTTCATAGAATCGAGATAAATCATTATAATCAACATTAAACTGTGTTTGATAATACATTTCATTATTGTTACTACAAAATAAGAATATGAGAAAATTAAACAATGTGGGTGAGCAAATATAAGTAAAAATGTATCATAATCCCTTTACCTAAAGAAAACTACAGTTAACTATTTTGATGTAAAATCTTTATTTTTTCCTACTCACTTATAGCTGTAATAACTTAAATGGAAACACTGCATCAGTTTTTTAATTAAACAGTAAACAGATTTCCCTGTCGTTAAACATTCTTGTACATCACTTTAATGACTATACTGCATTCTGTTTTATTTATTTATAGTGATATACTTGATCAACTCCCTATTATTTGACTTTTAAACTATTTTTATTGCCATATTAACAATATTACTGTAGAAATCTTTTTGGCTTAATCTATGGATGCATCCATATGCTTTTCCTTAGGATAATTTCCTAGTAGTGAAACTACTGTTTTAAGAAGAAAGTCCACATTTAAAGTTTTTGCTGCACATTGTCAAGTTGTCCTCCAGAAAGGTTCTACTGACTTATATGTACCCCCAGCTGTATATAAGAGTACCCATGTTCATTATTATAACTAGATATTCCTATGCTTTTTCTGTATTTGCCAAGTTATGGAGATAAAATGTTTTAATTTGGTTGCATTAATGATACTTAACTTCTTCATGTATATAAATCATTCATATTTCTTTTTTTAATTTTACTTTTTATTTGATTAACCATTATTTTTTAAGCTTCCAAAAGGCCAGAGCCAATATGAAGTATTTTACTCCTTTCTAATTGAAAGAAAAAAAAATTAAAAGACTACTAAGAGTGGTGCCTGGCTGGCTCAGTTGGATCAATTCTTGAACTCGGGGTCGTGAGTTTGAGCCCCACATTGGGAATAGAGATTACTTCAAAATAAAATCTTTAAAAAAAAAAGGACTACTAAAGAATTCCTAAAATTACAACAAATAGTTTGAATGATATTAACTAGTAGTACATCACAACGTTCTGGGGTTTAGACATCATATAATATGTAAATCACAACTCTTTGTTTAGCATTCTAAAAACTAGCAAGATTTTAATGCCAGTGGTACAGGCACTCTGGAAAACAGTATGGAGTTTCCTCAAAAAGTTGAAAATAGAGCTACCCTACGACCCAACAATTGCACTACTGGGAATCTACCCCAAAGATACAAATGTAGTGATCCGAAGGGGCACCTGCACCCCAATGTTTATAGCAGCAATGTCCACAATAGCCAAACTATGGAAAGAGTCCAGATATCCATCAATAGATGAATGGAGAAAGAAGATGTGGTATATATATATATATATATATATATATATATATATACAATGAAATGTTACTCAGCCATCAGAAAAATGAAATCTTGCCATTTCCAACAACGTGGATGGAACTAGAGGGTATTAGACTAAGCGAAATAAGTCAATCAGAGAAAAACAAATATATGATTTCACTCATGTGGAATTTAAGAAACAAAACAGAGGAGCATAGGGGAAGGGAAGGAAAAATAAAACAAGACAAAATCAGAGAGGGAGACAAACCATAAGAGACTCTTAAAAATAGGAAATAAACTGAGAGTTGCTGGAGGGGAAAGAGGTGGGGGAATGGGGTAACTGGGTGATAGACATTAAGGAGGGCATGTGATGTAATGAGCACTAGGTGTTATATAAGACCAATGAATCACTGAACTCTACCTCTGAAACTAATAATATACTATATGTTAATTGAATTTAAATTTAAAAAATAAAAGGATTGAGAAAAATAAATAAAAACTAGTAAGATTTTAGACTTCCATTTTTTATTGTGAAAAATAGAAATTCATTTCCAATGACAGCCAAACTTTTTATATCATTTTGAACCTAAGGGACTTCATGTGAATTTTAAAAATTGATTTTTATATAATGTTTTCAGACATATTCCTGAATTATATGGCAAGCAATAGAATCCATGTATTGCTTTGGTAAACACCGGGCTTGAGAATACTGTAACTTCAAGATTTCTGTCTCTTTACCTTTTATTTCTGATGGGGAACCAGTGAGTTGTGGTGGTTAAGGGCAGGGTTATGGAGCAGACCAGGTCCAGGTCTTGAACATTTATTAGCTATATGATCTTTTTCTCCCTATGTCTTAATTTTCCAAAATAAAGGGAGGAATAAAAATTCCTGTATCCTAAGTTAGTTGTGAAAATTAAATATGGTTAATTACAAAACTATCTAGTGCCTAGAGCATAGTATTTATTCAATAAACAGTGATAGTTGTTGTTGTTATTATTTGAAAGGTAGAAGTCTTTAGGAGCAGATATAGAAAGTAAGTCAGCTTTCCCCCATTAAAAAAAGCATTTTTAAATGGACATTGTTCAGGAAATCTTTTTTTTGAACTTTTAGTTTCTTGGCTTTTAATTCCAGTTAATTAACATACCATGTAATATTAGGTTCAGGTGTACAATATAATGATCCTACCCTTCTATCCAACACCCAGTGCTCATCATGACAAGGGTACTTCTTAATCCCCATCACCTATTTAACCCATTCCCCCCACCCACCTCCCCTCTGGTAAACATCAGTGTGTTCTCTATAGTTAAGAGTCTGCTTCTTGTTTCTCTCTCTCTCCCTTTTGTTCATTTGTTTTGTTCATTTGTTTGTTTGAAAAATATTTAGGAAATTTTCAAGTCCCTTGGTCTTTAAGTAATTCAATGTGAATTGGTGTACAACACTTACACTTAGGAAAGAAACCATATATATCTTCTGACACAAAGCTAATGTTTTTTTCCTTAGAAATGCCCATCTCACCTTTCTGAAGAAGAGAGATTAGGCCACCAGTCTTTCTAACTTTTTCTCATTTAACAATTTTTTCTCCCCTCATAACCTCATCTTCTCCCTAAAAATTTCCTAAAACCCCAAGACCAACTCTTATTTACCTGTGACTTTCAGGACATCCATCAGAACAATTCTTTCTGATTTTTCAATTGATCTTTATTGTGAAACTGACCTATAATCATTCATTTCATTTGCTGTGTATTTGTTTTGTTTTTGTTTTGAGCCAGTTGTCGCTCTTAATTTGAGGTAATCCAATTATTCCATTTTTCTCTTTCCTGTATCACTTTTGAAATTTGCTATTCTGTGGGTAGCATCAATCAGAAAAGAAGGACTTGGGTCGACTCAGGCACACTGCCCACTCAAGATGCTGGGTCTATAAAACAAGAAGTGATACGTGCAGTCTGTTATTGTGTCTGCCCCGGTTAAAGTGCCTATGGATCTTAAAACTTGAGATAAAGCTGCCAGTTTCAACTGCCATTTTTGTAACAGCTAAATCATATTAATTATTGAAGACAAAAATCTCCTTGGCTTCATCATACCTTTCCTATTTTTAACAAAGTCCTCCATGAGACGTGTGGCATGCCAGCATAAGCTTCCTCCAAAAGCCATATATCCAACCCACTGATTTTCACTTGCAAAATATCTCTCCAGGGACTATCGACACCTGGAAATTGCGCCCTGTGGTTTAAAGAGATTGTGGGCAATCTCTTTAATGCTAACTTTCATTTTTAGAATTTATAACACATTATACAAATTGTGGTCTATGCATAACAATGTTATTAATTCTATGGTAAATTTGGCCCCCACTAGGCATTTTACTCATAAAATGAACTAATTTTATATAAAATCTGTAATTTTCTGATGAAGTCAATGTAGATATCTGAAAATACATTTTCTCAACTTTAAGAAAGTATTTTCCATTGACTTAAATATGCCTTGTTCTAAAGTTCTTGAAATGTGATCAAGATATTCTTTATAAATACACCTTCAAGGTTCTATTTATTAAAGGAACAATTCCAACCAACTCTCAAGACATTTTCCAAATACGGTATCATTGGGAGACTTATGGATTAACCAGACCTTATATGTAGAATTCATGAAGAATATTTTTATCTATATTGTCATATATGAGTAGTCTTAAGTGAGTTCCAGTTAAAAATGAGTTGCTCAATGAAAATCTCTTGTTCTCACATTAAATATACATGTCTATCATTAATTTTAACCATTTATCATGTGGTCTTATTAAAAGTAGGCGTTTAATTTCTTATATGTTTATACATTTTTTAATTTTCCTTTGACTTCATAGTTTGGTTTATTTTGTGATTTTGTTTGTTTTCTTTCATGGCTAGAATTCTACCTTGTCAAAGATTCCTGCCTTACAGTGTAGCTCAAAGTCCCCAAGATGCAGCTCTGCTTGCCCTAGTACGTCTCAAAGGGCTTCATTTTCTGACAGGTTTTCAATACAGCCCACCTCAGCAGGCTCCACAGACCGTTTGCCATACTCAGAATCAGGGAACAAGGTAAGGCAGCAGGTCAACCAAAGGTTCAGAAAAGAATATAATTTCGGAGGTTATAAGACACAATTCGGTAAATATATAAAAAACAAAGACTAAACTCTAAAATATTTGACATATAAACAATAGACCCTCTTAAACACAAATAAAAATCTCAATAGTTATTAATAGTTAACCAGTAAAGAAAAAAAACCTCTTTCTAGGTAGACTGTTCCTTATTAATTTATTACTTATTTATTTGGTATCTTGTAAAATTTCAAATACAAACCAATAAAGTAAAATGTATTATATAAAATATTACACATAATATATATAATAAATATATGTTACTCATAGTATATAATAATATATAATATTGTATCATCTAAGAATGGCAAATTATATGTAATGTAATACACCATTTGGACTCAATCAGACACATCAGGATTTAATACTGCCTCTGCTACCTATCAACTTGGTGATCTTGAAAAAATTACATAAACTGATTCAACCTGTTTTCTTGGCTATAAAATGCAGATAGTATTTCGTGGCAAGAATTAAATCATAAATGGATGTAAAGTACTTAGAATTCTAGTCACATAAATGCACAATATATGGTAGTGGTCATTGTTAACTGGTATGCATGCAGTGCCCCTTGGCAACCCTTTCTGATTAACAAGTTATCATGCTAATGAAAATTTTTTTAGTAAAATTATTAATTCACTGGAGATTACTTGAATAAATTCATTTTACCCATGTTATTATTTAGAATTTGAATTTCATGATCAATTATTAGCACTAACTCCAGAATTATATATTTTTATAAAACTTCTAGGCAAATATGAACTCTTTCTAAGTTTCAAAGTAGAAATGCTTATAAATATATGAAATTCAGTTGTCTGTATTAAAAGAAATTCCTCTATCAGCACAGGAGGAAAAACAGAGCAATGTAAATCACTTTGTATAATTAAAGATGCATAAGAACCCAATGTGTTTTTTCCCCAATCAGGATGGAGTAACCAAGAGCCCAGAAAAGCGCTCTTCTCTGCCCAGACCCTCCTCCATTCTCCCTCCTCGTCGAGGTGTATCAGGAGACAGAGATGAGAATTCCTTCTCTCTCAACAGTTCCATCTCCTCTTCAGCACGGCGGACTACCAGTAGGTTTATTTTCATTTGGCTTCCTTTTTAATCCTTTAAGTGGCAGAGAGCTTATTATGTGTCTATATTTTACATCTTCCAAGGAAAACATACACTGAAAACAAATTATATTCCCTCTAAGAATCAGAAAATCTAGACTATTCATGGATCCAAAACAGCTGTGTGAGTTAAAATGATTGTTGTGGAAAATGAGTACCTATAAAGAAGTAATTAATAGAGAAAACCAATAGTCAGGAATTTTAAAAAAATATATATTTGTATAAGCTTAACCCTTTTTAGGAATCCAAGTCCTAAAATCTAACTGGAAAGCCAATTATCAAAACCTAGGATTCTGCTCAATTTGTTAAAAATTTGAATTCCAATGAGGGTGTAAACATAACATGTTCAGTGCAATAGTTTCAGTTTCTTTTGATTGATGGCCCACAATGAACTGGTTGGCAGTTATCACAGTTTAAATAAAAAATATAAAAATGTTCCAATCATTACCCACTCAGGTGTTGTGTTACTACCAAGATTATCTAGTTAAAGCATGGATTCAAATTATTTTCATAAATATGTTTCTATTACAACAAAAATAGCTACCATTTACTGAGCACATATAGATGCTAAAATCTTAAGACACATTTTTCACTCAATTTAATTAACAATGCTGCTGGTTAGGTATTAATAACCTGATTGAATCTAGTGATGAGAAAAAAGAGGGTAACTTGTCCAAAGCTATTAAGATAGAAAGTGGTTGAATTTGGTTTTCAGCCCACTGATAACTTCATGACCTTAATGTCTTCTTTATATGTATTTGGAAGAAATAGTACTAGAAAGCTGCTATGTAGAATCACTTGGAGAGTATCATCTCTGTCATTTAAAATTCATTAAAAATGGTGGAAATTGCTACTACTACCACATTATAGTTGATTTTACCCCTTATTTTAAAAATATTTAACAATAATTGACCCACTTAAAATGTCACTATTTTGTATGACACTTAAAGCATATTTTTGCCTGGAATGAAAGTGTTTATTATAGTTAGAGCAGTTGTGACCTACACACCACTTAGTTTCGTGAAATATTAACATTCTTTGAAATATGTGCCAGGAATACTTTAAAAAATCACTAAACTCTTAACAAAAATAAAGTATTCAAACGAACTAGCAAAGAAGGCATTTAAGATATAGTAATCTCTTGAGAAAAGACTTTAACTTTGGAATTGGGCATCATCAATATAGAAGCTGTTTAGATAAATCAAAGGCACCAAGTACTTCCCATAGGTATACTTTGAATTATGCTTCTATCTGTGGTTATGGAAGCAAAATGGCACTTCATCCATAAATCCACATCCTCAAACCACTGTACTCTGCCTTTTAAAGTACATCTGTATATAAATTGTTTTTATTTCTAAACCAATTCTAAAATTGTTTTTATTTCTAAACCAATTCTATTTTGACTTTCTAACTTACATTCATAAGCTTAATGCATTTTATTATTTGGTAATGAACATAATTCATACTCTGATAATCTCAGGACATAGGGTTTATTTTCTCTCCATAAAGCAATAGCTAAAAAACATAAGGACAACTAGAAGAGTAAGCAATATGCCTCCTCCCATTCACCCATCATCTCTGTAACTGCACATAGCCATGTCCTGGCATTTTGTACAGCTGTTGAGAAAAGCTGAAAGAAACAAAGCTATGCAGTTAGCCCAAGTAGAGAGAAAAGCATTGTCATTGAGGAGTTGACAAGATTAATAAGAACCTACAGCTTAATAAAGTCATTTGTAAATATATATTTTTCAGAAATATTTTTTAAATTGTTTTAGTAATTCAGAGTTAACTCTTTCAATTTCAGAACAAATAGGAAATGCTCAAATTTGTCATTTTGATGACAAGAATATAATTTATTACACTAAAAATTGGTTGTATCTATTGAACAGTGGTGTTAGGGCTTAATACTTTTGGTTTTCCTTCATTCTCCAGATGTAACACAAAGCCTTCATTCCTTAGTTTTCTGAAGTTTAAAGCCATTTTCTACGAGTATAGAAATGACTCTTAATTTAAAAAAAATGTTATTTCTTTTAGTGAAACTTGTTATGCACATGCAGAATATTGCTTCAGCTTAGTCTCCGTGAAGTAAAAAACACCTCAACACACTGATAAGTTCTGAATCCAATTTGTACTGTTAAAAAAGAATGTTGAACTCCTACTGTATTCAGGTCCCATAAAAGGCATCAGTGCTAGGTACAGTGGCAAATAACAGAGAGAAGATCCTGCTCTCAAAAAGACCTGAGCTATTCAAAGGTGATGAAGTCATAGAGAAAACATTTGAGGAAGAAATGAAGTTTCTGGGAAGAGATTTTTCTGAAGGACACAGTGACTGACTCGAACATCAAAAACTCAGTCCAAAAACAAATTTTGTATCAAGGAAGCCACAAAGAGCCACGTTGGATGTGGCTGTATCATCCTGGTCTTGAAATGTCCTTTTTTGTGGAAAGCGATAAAAATCAAAGAATGCACACTAATTTATCACATAGTCTTCTTATATCCAATTTCATATTGTCAGTTGAGGAGTCTACCTATCGTTTGGCCTTATGTTAAAAAAAACAAAAGAACATAGGGCAACTTTCACTTGATACATAAAAACTGTTCACTGAAAGAAGTAAAATGATCCTGTTTCTTCAGGAGACTGAACCCAGACCAATGGGTAAATAGATATTGCCTGTAGATTATAATTACCTATGAAGCTCTTTTGAGCTCGCTCCTTGTAATTATTTCAGCAAAGATTAATTATCCCCTTTCTCAGGAAGAACTTCCCATACTGATGACCAGTTGTATTAGATGACTCAATGACACTTCATTGATTTAAGTTAATGAGTTATACCTTTATCCTCTACAAAATTTCTAGAAGATTTATTGGTTTTACAAAGTATACATACTTAGTAATAAAAAATAAAATTCATGCCCTTCCTATAAAACACCAAAAAAAGTGAAGGAATTTGAATAATAAACGTAAACCATGTAAATAAGTGTTCTATTATTAAAATCAATATGTTATTTTAAGCAAAAAGATTTTTAGAGCTAAGAAACTAAATATCATATCTGGCTTAGAATTTAGTATCATCTGGGTAGATGAGCCTCAGTGTCCTCATTCTTAAATTAGGAATAATAAGAGCTGTCTCCAACTACTGTATTTGTTTGGTCATCAAATGTTTGGTATTCACAAAAGTGCTTTGTAATCTGTAAGGTGGTATAGTCTCATCTATAGCATTATGCTTTCAAAAAAGTATTTGAAATGGCATTCAAACACACAGTTAAAAAGTTAATATGAAAGAAACATGGCATAAGAAAATGGGAGGAAGAAGTTAAATAATAAAATGACCCTAAAGTCAAGTTGAGGCAAAGAAATGCATCTCAAAATAGCCTGTATAATTGACAGTGGGGGATCGGGGTGTATGTGGCGGGGAGGAGTATTGACTTGACTCCAAACCACAAACTAGTAATGAAAGTATAAGAGAAAACAATTAGGTACAAGATTCACTGTGACTATGTTGTTAAAACATCCTATTTTTCTAAGAAGAGAAATAGATATTTTTTGGTATTAAGAGCTGAGACAAATTTCCATATAAAGGAAATACATGATACTGTAGAACAATGTCTGACATAATTGCATAGCTTTTAGTAAACACATTTTCAACTCACAGCATTCCTCAATATAAGCTGAAGGAGTAACATTGAATCACAATTCAATAAATGACTTTGTACACAGGCCAAAATTCTTGCTATCAGTACACAGTCTTATGTTGTATGTCTACGTGAATCTTGGAATAAACTCATTGCACAAAAGAGCAAGAGATCCACACATCATTCAAGGAAATCTTTAGTAAATACTACCCCACATAGAATATGAAGCGCAGACTCTTCTACCAACTTAGGGCAGATCTGCATGCCTTAATGACCACACAAGTATAAAGAACTTCTGACGCCTTCATAATAAGAAGTAAGAAGAATAAATCAAGAAAACCCAAGTTCTTTCTTTGCATTGATAGCAATGCATGTTCAAAAAAATGTCACCAGCTTGTAAGCCTAAAAAAAGGAACTTTTGCCTTTTTGAGCATTGTTGTAATCCACAAATATTCCAAACTCTTTAGAAAGTTCATGTATTTTGAGTTCTAACAACCTGAGGGAAGAGGATGTCTCGAGAATTTTCTGATGCTGTGGTTTTGGTTTGGTTTGGTTTTGTTCGTTTATATAGGGTCAGAGCCAATTCGCAGAGCAGGAAAGAGTGGCACTTCCACACCCACTACCCCTGGATCAACCGCCATCACTCCTGGCACCCCACCAAGCTACTCCTCACGCACCCCAGGCACTCCTGGAACCCCGAGCTATCCCAGGACCCCTCACACACCAGGAACCCCCAAATCGGCCATCTTGGTGCCCAGCGAGAAGAAAGTTGCCATCATACGTACGCCTCCAAAATCTCCCGCTACTCCCAAGCAACTTCGGCTTATTAACCAACCACTGCCAGACCTGAAGAATGTCAAATCCAAAATCGGATCGACAGACAACATCAAATACCAGCCTAAAGGGGGGCAGGTAAGAATCACATGAACAACATACTTGCTGCCAGAAGTAAAATCCCACTAATGATTAGAATGCTCTCCTCATACTATAAAGGAACAGTTCTTACAGTGGAAGGGGGATGGAGGTGTTAAAAAGTTACTGGTTATGATTCCTTGTCAAGAGTTTGGACCTCATCCGAGAAAGCTGGCTTATAAAATATAACGCAAATAACATGACATGTCTTTTCCTTCTGGTTATTATCGGGTAAAAATTGATTTCACCATACAGGAGAATCTTTCCATTGATTGCCTGGCCGATCTTTCCTGAATGTATCTATTGCCCTGTGGATTTTAACATAAGAGATTAAAATTACATTTCTGATATGAATTTGAGTGTTCTAGTTTAGATCCTGACTGTGACCTCATTTGATGATCTTTTAGTGATTTTGCTTTTATCTCCTTCCTTCTTCAATGATTTCCTATGACATCTTCTACCATTTCCCTATGTTCACTCCCAAATCAGCATGGTTCACCACATTTCTTCTCTGGCTGCTCATGCTTAAAAATTGCAAAGGGTGGACATTCATGTTGATAATAGATAGTTCTGTATAGTTCCGATGAATGAGATTATTGGATTAGAACTTCTCTTTAAGATTAATTGTATTGAAGAGGGTTATTAGTAAAGCTCTACCTATTAACTCTTAACTTCAGCTCCAGTACAAACATTCACATTTTTTTGCCAACCAGGGGCCTTTGAGTTTTGCCTTGACCTCAACCTTGCTTTTACACTGTGTTTAGATGAAGCAATTAGCCTGGAAGGAGATAATACAAATATCATTTAGTATTTCCTTTGTGATTTTGATCTGCCTATGGAATAGTTTGGTTTTGCTTGTCACTAAAGAGACAAAACACCCATCCTTGAGAGAAAGAAGAAAGAAAGAATTTCCTTTGTACATTAACAAACTTGTGATGCCCTCTCGACATTCCCAAAAGATTTTCTTTCAACGTCAGTGTTCTTTTCTGCCACTCTTTCTTGTCTGTCTTGTATTTTCTGCCACTGATTTTTGGTGTCCCTCTTTCATGCCAAAGAAAATGTATTTTCAGGCAGGGTTAGAAGAAAGATCCTGCCAAAATGTGAAGCTATCAAGGATTCCTACTCACTGCTGAAACAAAAATTCAGCGTTGCTTCTTCCTTTAGCAGCAAACTTACTTGCTGTTTCATTGTGATTCTGTTCAAGAAAGCCCAAGGAGTTACAAAAAATCCACCAAAGGAACTGGGGGAAGCAGAAGGCGGGTGGTGCTCCATATGCCCTTTGTGGAATGACTATAACATTCGATAATAATAAAGTCATAGACAAATGCTTTTTCATAAAAAGATGTTATTAAAATATGAGCTACACGAAATCTTTTTAAGCAAAACAAAACGAAACATGAATTCTGCTAAATTTGATCCTATAATTTCATAAATCTCATACTATTCTTGCATTCCTCAGAGTTTTGCACATCCAAGAGAATGAAATATTTGGGGCCTTTTGGAAATATCCAAATGCTATATTGTTTTATATTTATACATAAATAATAGACTAAGTTGAATAAAATCAATTTAGTGCCAATTTGAAAGTTTATCATTTTAGCTTTTGGTGAGATACCTCTTAAAATGGTGCAACTATTATGTATATTTAAAATCAGTTCTCTTTCTATAAATGTCCTTGTATGCAGTATTTTCCATATTTAAATGTGGGGTTTACTGGCTCATATTCCAGAAAATATTGATACTGAAAAGAATATGTTTCTTCTTAGAATCACAAGGGAATATAATTTATCTCTTAAGATATTTTCTTGAAACTAAAAAGAAAATTGAACTAAGATGGAATAATTATGGGTATAATTTGACATGAAAATTCTACAATATATGATCTTATTCAAATGACTCCTCAAGGTAGAGAGGCATGAAGAATGGTTTTAACCTCAGCTTTGCCAGAATCACTAAGGTTAAACCAAGCCAAAAAATAGGAATACTTCTTTTTCTTTCTGCTTCTTGTACTGTATCTGTGAATATTTTTATGTCTAATTTCAGTTGACTTCTGCTATACTTGGTAATTCATAAAACTGACATAAAGATTACCTTATTCTTTTGAACTCAACTAAAACTGCCTTAGAGATTGTGGTAATTAATGACTAGTAAAGACATATGACACAAAAATTACTGAACAGAAACAGCCTTAAATTCACAGTGTCACTTGAAGAACATCTCTTCTTTCATAAGGCGAGTGTTAAACCTGCTGCAAAATTATCCTATCTCAGCTGGAGATGACTTGGAAAAAATCCACAACAGTGGAGTTATGAAGTGACTTTTGTTAGAGAACCAGGAGGTATTTCCTTACCAACATAAGAAACAGATGGAAGGAAGATATTTGCCTTCTATTTTGTGACAGATGGGATAATCCATTTAAATTGGAGGGGGAAATGAATTGGGAAATTGAGGTGCACTGCAGTTGAACTGTCTTTGTAGGAAAAATATATCACTTAACACTTTAACATTATCCCCTTAAAAGCCTCAAGCACAAGGAATGAGGAGAGATTCTTTTTCTGTACATGTTAAACTGCAGGTTTTGACAAAATTTTTATGTTAAAGCTTCTTAGAAATTATGAAGATGATATGCTAAAGACCCTTGTTCTCTGATTGAGGATCCATAACTCACTCTGTTGGGAAAATTGAAGCTACTGGCATGTCATTCCCAATTATAAATTGGATAATCCTAGGATGTTGGAATGGACAGTGGTCAACTCAGAATCAATGAAGAGGACAGGGCAATAGCAGTACTTTTTGTAGGAGGCAAGTTTTGTAATAGAGATATGCAGTCTGTAGATCTTGAGAAAAATAGTCACACAATTCTTATTAATAAATGAGGGAGCAAATTTATAGATGTAACTCTAATTCTTCCACACAGGCTCTATTGTTATAAAATCTGGAGTGGTTAGATTGTATGTAAATGATTTAATTTTAAAAGCTATGTTACTGCTGTTTGTGCAATCATTAAGAATTGGGAAGGGAAATATATAATAAAAAATATATCTGTCTTGGAAGTTCAACAACTTTCCAAGTTGGGAAGCCTTATTATTTGCCTCAGTTTGAGCATTTATTGCTCTTCTGTATGTATAGGTTGTATGCTCACAGTGATCGTCACTTCAATTAAAGGTCCAATTTTGTATTGGAAGAGAGTTTTAACTTTGTGGCTCAGTTCAGTGAGGCAAATCAATGCCTAATGGAATAGATAAAAGAGCTGAAAACATGAGGAGCTTTACAGAAAGCAATAAAGTTAATCTTTTCAGCTGAAATGCAAATTCATTCTACTGGAAAGAACATAACACAATCTTAGATTCACTGTAAATAGTGACCTGGGTTAATTTAACTCAAGGCTCGGGTAAGACTGTCTTAGTAAGTGTATTAATTTAAAACTATTTCAATATAGTTAGCTCCCTATTCTGCATTAAATCTCAATCTAAATTTTAGAATAAGTAGTGTTAGCTTTTGAAGAACACAGCTGCTTGATTTAAACAAAAGTAGGAAAATAAACAATTTCTCTAAATGCGTGGCATAAAAAAATTAGGCAGGAACTCAGTGAATGATACTTCTTACCTTTTCTCTCAATGCATCAGCTTTTTTATAGGTGTTTTGGTTTATGTGGAATACTTTTACATGCTTTAACAAGTTTCTTTTTTTTCTCCATCAAGCCTTATGAAGATTAGTATACAAATCACAATTTTTGTACCCTTGTCATAGTTGAAAGTTACTGGTGAGGTGGTTTCACAAAGGCTCTTTCCATTTATAGTTGTTGGATAGGATGGTTATTAGGTAGATCATGATCTCTGCAAGGCCATGTCTGTGGATTTGATTGATCACCTTGTAAATTATATGCTTCTCCTTCATTAATGGAGCAGTCAGTCATTTGAGGTCAGGTGGACTAAAAAAGATGGTGGCATCTTCAAGCAAGTCACTCCTGTTCAAGAAGAGAACAGTACTTCTCTTTTATATAAAGAATCTTATAGAATTTGTCAATCTATTACCTTCCCAGTCAGTGTTGCCCCAGCATCTTTTTAAAAAAATTGATTTGGATAAATCCATTAGACTAGGACCTATGAAGTATATCCTCACATTCTAGAAATAAAGTAATCTATCTTCTATCCCTCACTTCTATACCGATCCATTGAATTAAGGAACATTGGATGTCAGAGATACTCAGCTCCTTATAGTCCAACTTCCACATCTTCGCAGAGTAAGAAACAGAAGTCCTTATAGTACCCACATCTTGCATATAGGGCTTTTAATAACATCCTTTAAAGGCTGAGCTATAAATTCAAGTTCTAGAATGTTGTATTTAATGAAGAATCACTTGTTCTACAAAGTATGCAATTTAACGCACCTTAGTTATTGTTTTGGTTGCTTCAACTTTGGTTGCACAACATGAGAATGGCAACACTATTTAACACTCCCTCCTACACCAAGGTTCTATCACATCAGGATTGAAATTTAAGGGTTTTGATCTTTTATAATACTTATGTGAAATAATTTAATGCAAATAATGTGTTAGAGTAATACACTATTGAAAAGTTGAGACCATTAAATTTGGAAAGTTATGTTGTATTTCTTATCATATTTTTTATTCTCCTACAACTGACAGATTATTTTTTAAAATAATTCTAAAAATCAATGTTTACAAATAGAATATAGACACCAACTTTCAAATTCCTGTAGATAATATCTAGGACAAATAATGAAATATTAATTTTAAAATCTACCTTGGCATCTTTAAAATAAATGGTCAGCTGTCTTGTAATTCCTCAGTAATTCCAGAAAGTCAAAGTTGTACGTTCATTTTACTCATCATTTATTCAACAAGTATTTATTGACTACCCATTATGTTCCATGCTGTGTTCTAGGTACTGAGAATGTAACAATGAACAAAACAGACAAAAATTTTTGAAATTCCTACCTTCCTAGAATTTACATTCTAGGCAGAAAAACAAGTCAAA